TCATTTCAGTCAGTCTCTCTTCAGATGGCTCTACATCCTCTCGCCAACATCTACGGCAGATGTGGGTTTGAAGGGCAGCAAGAGTGCACGCCCTAACTCCATTCCCCTCAGCAGGAAGCAGTGCCTTAAAATCCTAAATCAGCACTGGCAAACCTATGGCGTGCACGCCACAGCCCGTTGTTGGCATCACTGAAAGCTCTCAAGGGTTTGCCACCACAGCCCTGAATGACTTCAGGGGTCCCAAATCCAGAGGGGGGAATGTGAGGCAGGTAGTTACATATTAGTGAGCTGGAGGGACGACGGGGAGGGTTCAGGAGAGCGTGCTTTGCCAGTTATATTAAGTAAAGAAACAAAGGCTCGTGTGTAAAATGTGTTCATAGTCATTCATTAGGCCTCAGACCCAGAGCGATGCCACAGAGCAGAGGGCGTGTTAACACTGAGCCTTGAGCACATTCCTTCCCATATCCGGCCACCTGGCTGTCTATTCCCACAAGGCACAGGGCGACACAAAAGGGACTAGTCTTTAAAGACTCGCCCTCCCACACTGACCCCCAATTTAGATTCTTAGATGATTAAGGCTGCTGAGGTAACCCTGAGCATCTGAAAGGAACACAGAAGACATTTTTGAGATACTGATATTCCCATGTAAACACCAAGAGAAACATCAACAACACCGAGATCACCATAGTTCCCCGAGCCCCAGGAGTAACTCTGGGGTGCAGAAAAAGGTATCCAAAAAAGCTATCTGCACTTGGACTCAGTGCTAATGCTGTCACCACCACCTTCTTCACTGAAGGTGTAACTGTATGTCTACTTTACAGTAAAGTCCACTGTACTTCCACATGGCTGCCTGTGTGACTGAATTCTCTCATCAAGGGCATAAAGAATTGAGGCCTGAGGAAGTAAGAAGACAGTTTCTCATGCATCTGGAGCTGGCTTCCCAGTAACAATATTCCTTTTTTTTATATGCTTTGGAATTTTTAAAAAAGTGAAAATCTGAGCCAAATATGGTGGTGTGTGCCTATAATGCCAGCGCTCAAGAGGCTGAGGCAGGAGGATTGCTGTGAGTTCCAGACCAGCCTGGACTGCTTAGCATGACCCTGTCTCAAAAACAAAACAAAATACAGTACTTACACTGGGGGTGGGGGGCATTTTGAGACAGGTTCTCACTATGTAGTTGAGACTGACCTGGAACTCACTATGTAGCCCAGGCTGGTCTCGAACTCACAGTGATCCTCCTGCTTCAACCTCCTGAGTGCTGGGATTACAGGTGTGGGCTACCACACCCAGCTATAGTAGTTGCATTTGACAGATTCTGATAGTATTGTCTGGGTAGGGTGACAGATTTCTGGTGTCTTCTATTTCAGTATTTTCGAGAATCTTCTATTTGATTCCTATTCATTTATTATGTATTACTAAACATCAAAACACCTGAGCCTGACCTGGTGGTGCACACCTGTCATTCCAGCACTTGGGAGGCAGAGGCAAGAGAATCACTGAGTTCAAGGCAGGCTTGGGCTACATAGTGAGTTTAAGGCCAGATACAGTGAGACCCTGTATGAAAAAACCAAAACCAAAAAACAAACATCCATTTAGGGACTGGGGCCGTAGCTCCATGATAAATCACCTGATTTACCTTATACCTAGTATGTGCAAGAAATGCCCTGGGTTTAGTCTGTAGCACTGCCAACAAAGGAACAAAAGCAAAACAAAATATACTTGATACTGCAGTGTTACTCTCCAATCTGGGGGTGTGTGTGTGTGTTTGTGTGTTTAACCCACAGACAGGCCTTTGCACTGAGCTACATTCCCAGGCCTTCTTATTTTTTGAGACAAGTTCTTGCTAACTCCCTTAGTTGTCCAGGCTGGGCTGGGGTGCCACTCACTGGCTTTTACCAAGTGTAGAAACCAAGGGTGTAGAGAAATATCTTACAGGGCAGAGATAACCCTCCCAATTCCAAAGTATCAGCTGGTTTAAAATGTGGTGGCACATCCCTGCAATCCCAGCCCTCTGGGAAACCGAGGCAGGAGGAATACAAGTTCCAGCCCACCTGGGCAACCTAGAGTGATCTTGTCTCAAAATTTAAAAAGGGCTGGGGTTATTACTCATTGTGAAGGTCCTGGGTTCAAAACCCCAGTCCTTGCAGGGTGGGCAGTGGAGCCAACTGGGCCAAGATTGAGAAACTTTAGGTAATTTCTTCTGTGTGCACACCTAACCTTGAAGAGCTATTCCTAGTAAGACCAGTTAAAAAATGGCCCCTACCATAGGCAGGTGGCTTCTCTAGAAATGAGACTCAGTAGTCCTATTTTGATATGTTAATCCTTATATCTCTCCCCCCAATCCCCCACCCCTGCCAAACACACACAGGGATTGAGGGGATCGAACTCAGTACCTTGCACTTTCAAGGCAGGCTCAGCACCACTGAGCTAAATCCCTGGTCCTCCTCATATCTATTTTTAATATTCAGTGTTTTTCTTCTATTAGAAAAGCACATTTACTGCCTCATCTTACCTGACACCATTTGTAATGTCCTAGCTGTTGGGTAGATTAGGGCCAGGGCAAGCCACACAACCAACTGGGCGGGATGGGTCCAAGATCATAAAAACCCACGGCTACTGGGTTGAGCAAGATGTTTCCTAAAAAGAGAAGACATGTGCACAACACTGAACCTCAAATGACTCCAGGCTTAGGGCTCCTAAGCACTTCACACAGAGCCACTCAGATGCAATATTCTCAATCCATTTGAATCTGGTGTTGTTCATAGGATCCATCAGAAGATGTCCTTCATTTACATATGGGCACAACTAATCAAAGTTTTCTGATCATTTACATCTGGCAAGAGAGCAAGAAAGCTTTTGATAGGATAATTGTTCCAATGCCTTATTTGCATATGGTAGGGGCCAATCTAGGTGTTTATATAGTAAAGATCCTTTCCCTTTATCCTTAGGGCTGCTGTGAGCCTTTTCACCGCCCTGATCTAGTCCTGTAGTGTATTTCTTTTCTGCCTTCAGTAAATGTTTACGTCCACTGCCTTTCTGTGTCTTGTCCATTCTTTGTCTGGGACACACAGGACCTAGAAAGAACCCCACACCCAGAACCCCCATCTGGCAACAGCTGAACTGATAAAGCCTCCTTAATTTAGTTCTCCTTAGCTGTATAGCAAAATATTGAGACAAGAAAGGGTCAAGTGGTAGGGAACGAATCCAAGGACAAAACAAACTCAGAAAGTAGGGCTGTATAACCCATCCACTCTGCCCAATAGCTGCCTCCCACAAGTACCGATCCCCAAGGTTCTAAAAGAGTAGCACATACTCCAGTCACATGGACACTGTCTAAAACTGCAAGCGGAACATACCAAACTCTAAACAATAATGTCAAGAGACATTTTTTTAGTCTAAGTCGTGCTGCACTGTGTTGAAGTGCTAAAGGATCCAAACATCCTTACACATGCAATTTCTCAGTGTATTCATTTACTGCATAACAACTCCCAGTCAGTCAAGAGCTGACAGTCGAGTGGTCAGGACAGAACACATAATCATGAAACCTAAAGCAGCGAATATATATATATTATATATGTATTATATATATTATATATGTGTGTATATATGTATATATTACATATATATATATAATATATATATATATATGCTTTTTGGTACCGTTCTTGTGCTTTGGAGGCAGACTCTGGAACCACTGAGCTAAATCCCCAGCCCCCGCCCCACCAAGTATTCCGCCAAGTTTTTTTGAGTTAGAATAAGGCCAAGAACATCCTGACCCGAAATAATGAACAGACGCTTCACAGAGACGGGATTTCGAACCGAGAGTGTGAAGAATACATAGGACTGGGAAAACTTATAACAATGTTTTTGTTTTTTGTTTTGGTACTGCAGATCAAACTCTGGACCTTGCGCTTTCGAGGCAGGCGGTGTAAAAATGTTTTTTTTATGACGAGTCTTTTAGCAAGAGCTGAAATGAAAAAGCCAGAATGCAGGCCGAGGATTTAGCTCAGTAGTTCCGATGCCTGCCTTGCAAGCGCAAGGAGTTTGATTCTGGGTACTAAAAAGACAACAAACAAACAAAAACAGAATGCAAAAGAGTGAAGTCTTCGGCACAAGGATTGTGAAGTTTTCACCCTTTGAAGCTTTTTTCACCCTTTGAAATTCTCTAATTATTCAGTGTTGACTTTTGTTTTCCCTGACACTGGGGACAAAACCCAGGGCCTTTGCACTGAGCTCTTGCACCTGCCCTCTTTCCTTTATGTTGAAGCCTCTTCTGCTTTTTTTTTTTTTTTCCCAGACGGGGTCTCCCTATGTAGTTCAGACTATGTAACTCAAGTCAGTCTTTCTGCCTCAGCAGAAAGTGCTGAGATTCCAGTGCTGGGATTCCAGGCGTGTGCCACCCCGCCAGGCCCTTCTAGTTTCATGTCATTTTTTTCTTTTTAGACTGCAACCGAGGGAAAACAGGCGATCCCTTTTTTCCTTACAAAATAAAGGCAAAACAAGGCAATACTTTCAGCATGTTTACACATGAGACATGTATGATTTACTATAAAGCAGGTTTCCTCTGAAGAATTCAAGAGATTCTTTCTATTACTGTTTCCCTTCAGGCAGACAAAGATAACTTGCGTGCCCAGTAATATTTAACCACTGCATCGTTGTCACCCTGGTGCTAAGATAACTCAGGGTATAATGGTTTTCATTCTCATCAGACAGGCCAGGTTCAATGCCCCCAGCCCAGCGTCTCGCGTGTCGTCTGCTCCACTTATCAGCCGCGCCACTAAAGGTCCCGGGACGCCTCCCTCGGCCCTGGGGACCGCAACCGGCCCAAGGCAGACACTCGGGTTTCTCGCGAGAGAACGGGCGGCCCCTCCTTCCTCGCAGCTGTCTCTCTCCGCCGGG